TCTTCCGGAACCAATCAACGTAGGAAGCTAAATCTTTGCGAGGATGTTCTCTATCTGTGTGTGTTGCGTCGAAAGACAAGGCGAGGGGGGACGATGTGTTAGATGAAGAACGATCAACAGTAACAGTGAAATATGTACTTAAAAGGAGCTCCTCATAAAACGTGCTGTGAGCAATCTATGGCCAAGTCGGCAACGGCTGTGCGGCATGATTGACATATCACAACACATTGGTCAAAATAACACATTTTGTGGGAGTATAATAATGTGCAAATTGAAGATCTCAAATTCAGTACCGCACACACTTGCGTCACGCGTAAGATCATGTCACACTTCTCAGTTGACGCTGTGCCAATTCAAGAACTTTCCGGAAAATGATAACTGTAATTTTGCCAGAATATAGTTCATCTGGGGACTCATTTACCTAAATATAGTTCCGAACTGCACTTGCATTACACCTTAGGGCATGCCGAAGGCATTTGTAGCGAAGTAGTGATTTCGGGTACCAGACAAACCGCATAGCTGAAGTTTTACAAAGACATTCTGTGGCTCACGTGTGGTCTAAATTCAGCTTGAAGGCTAAATTTCCTGCTTACGGGTATGACAAATGCGCAGAACTACTTCAACCTCAATAATGACTACATTTTGCTCGGATTTCATCATGATTCTCCTTCGAAAACCTTTTCATTGTCGTCCAACTTGCATTTTCATTGAACGGTTGATGGCAGCAAATTTCTATTTCCTCTCAGGCAAAATCTGCGATGATCATTCATGCTCGAAGATAGAATTTCACGCTGCCGATAATGCAGCATCATCGTTCTTGTCGGCGTTTTTTTCCCCTGCATGTAGGAAAAGTCCGAAAAATTCGTCAACATGAGTGTACATTTTAAACCGTATAGCAGCAACTGTTTTCATATTATTAACGATCGGTTGCATCAAGTTTTTGCATGATCGCACCAGAAACCCTGGTGCACATTGTTGCTTGAGTCTGTACTTATCAGTTTGCATGTGTGTAGTGTATTGCAGCACTCAACAAATTCATTGTGCCGTTAGCTGATACAGAAGTGGTGGAGAAGGACGATGTTGTCCTGCACTGCGAAACAAAAGTAATTCACAGAAACTTTTGACTTAATTTTTGTATTTTCAGAGGAGTGAAGTAACTGCTTATCTGGTTTGAATATTAGTAGCTTCGACTTCGTAATAATTAACCCTTTTTCTCAATCATAGAACTTTGAGTTTTACAATTTACTCAATGGAACATTTGTAGGACACGAAAACACCTGGAGTATGGACGAAAAATGGAAAAACAATAACATCAATGCCTGGTGGTAAATTTGAGACTACATCTAGGCAAGGCGCACACACATTGAAAATTTCGAAGATTGAGCTCTCAGAAGGTGACACGTACGAAATCAATGTTGGCGGTCTTGAAGGCTCATGCGTTGTCACGGTGCTTGAAGCAGAGAAGAAGCCAGTCATCAGCTGGAAACCGAAGAAGGTCTCTGGCTTAGCAACTTTCATCAAGATTAAAACTCTTCAGGAGAATTGTAGAATAAACAAGTTAGATAGCAAAAAACTTCATATGCATTGGCCATTGATTTACTTTCTTTAGGTTGCAATGGAAGCCGGTAAGCCGGAGGTGATCAAAGTTCCCTTTTCAATCAAGGGAACCCGTAGAGGTGATCCCAAACCAGTTTTGCTACGAGACGGCAAACCGGTTGATATGGAAAAGTTAAAAAATCTTGTTGAAGTTGTTATAAACGGAGATGTGGCCGAAATCAAATTCAAAGTATGTTTTTCATAATACTATTGTTTTTGGAAATTATCGCAAAATCAGTCAGATTTCAAATGTGAATTGAAGCATCTAATAATGTCAGTCAGCGCGTTTTGTACCACTGATCGGTTGATAATGAGTTAGGTCATGCATTCCTATCCCCATACAGCAGAGTTCGTCTTAACAATCTGAATGGTTCTGCTCAAATACATGTTTTACGGCATGTTAGCACTGCTCTTCTCCTGCCA